AAGAAGATGCTCGCCCGGATTCGCCACGCCTAGCATGTCCTACTCTCGCAGCGACTATGTCTACAAAGCAACGAGAAACCACCTAAAGTGGCTTGAGAAGTGGAATCCTTTTACGTAAAAAAGCGCACAAAAAAGTGATGAGAAATAAAATTCGGGGTCACGTAGTCACGTCACCGTGCACCGAGGGTTGGACTTTATAACCGCGGTAGTATCGATGAATTTTACGGTCATAGCATTGCTACGCCCTCCGTTTTTGCTGGAATCTGCTTGTGTGTTATCCTTCTCAACACCAATATGGCACGAGAAGTTAAAATGTCCCTATTTGTGGTTGCTTTTATTTGCCGAAAGAGTCGCGGTGTGGAAATGTAATTGCCGCAAAAGTAAAATAAATGCGAAGAGAGTGCATTTAACGCGTTATATGAGAAAAAAATGCCAAAATCAGAGAAAGGTAATCTTATGGCGAGTGCTAGATATGAGTAACGTGAGACGGTTCAATTAAGTTACGATGAAAGCGGCGAACGAGGCTTCAACTTAGGAAAGGAATCTGAAAATGCTCATCTCCTAAAAGCAACCTTTACTTCCTAATGCATCAAGCAGCCTTTTGAACGAAATACAACCATGGTTATTTGTTTTACGATTAAAAAACTGATATTCTTGTTTCATAAAATGTATAAGTAATCGTGCTGTATCTTTCATTAAACACTAATGTAGCTTAAGAGCAGTACGAGATAAAGAACACTGTACATCCAGCCTCGGAAACCAGGTATTACGATCGAGAGCCTGCTGTGAAATATTCATGCCGACAAATCAATTTCAGCGAGAGTCATTTGCATAAAGCGTTATTAAAGTACGGTCGCTCGAAACCGACATTTTAATTAGCGCGCAATTAATCTCAGAAAACATTTTTTACTTATATTACCAGCAACTGTATCGAACCGTAAAACTTTAAAAAAAAGAAAAATTTTGGGTAAGAGAAAAATACTTCAAAGAACTCGGAGTCCACGCAAATGAAAGGAATTCCCGGTGAAAAAAGGAAAGCAGAAACGGGCTCCACCCATTAATCACGAGAACACTCGGAAAAGAATGCGATAATATTAAAGAAATAAAATAAAAAGATACGCGGGAAAGCAAGACAAAAATTTGAATGCGTCCCCTAGTTTGGAGTCGATACCACTTCTCCCTGCAATGCGCTGTGTGATCATACATTACGCTAGGGGTCCCACTCAAGCCGAAACGAGGCCATTAAATCAGTCCATTACCCTGGTACAACGAATATCAAACCTTAATCAATTTCGCCGGAGGCCCGAGGGATTCGAGCACTTGAAGGTTTAGCGAACCCGTATTTCTTTTTATACCTTTTGGTTCTCAAGAAAATAAAATTATCATACAAAAACTATGTAATTCTTGGGTGATCTCTAAAAGTCGATGAAGCTTCAGTGTTCTCATTTCATTTCACGCTGACTACCAAAACTCCAAGGTTGATTAATTTGAGGCTCTAAATTTATTTGTGTTTGGAGTTGGTACCAGAAGAAGGGGCGGGGTGCCAGTTAGATTTTTTTTTTCGTTTTATTTCCGCTTTTTAGACATTTCGTTCCTAGTAAGTTTTATTCTCCTCAAGATGCATTAAGTTTCTTGTGGTTTACTCGGTGAAAGGGGCAGTTTTACAAATCCCCGTTTGACAAAATCTATGTCGCTGACAGTTCATAGTCGAAACTTCGCCATACGCATGGCGAAGCTTTGACTACAAATTAAAAATTGCATAACATTTTGTTCGAAGTCTTGAAACTAATAATAATAATAATACTAATAATAATAATAATAATAATAATAATAATAATAATAATTTTATAAGGATTATCTGCATGGTACAAAACCAGGCCCACGAAAGCACGTGACTGTTTCGCGGGGATGAATCTTCCATCTAGCGAACAGGGCAAGCGCGGGGCTGCTGATTGGATGGCAGTGCCAAGTCAGCGTTCGGCTGGGGCTCGTGTTTTCTCTGATTGGATGGGAGTGTGAACCGAATGATGACGCATTTGCCTTTATTGGTGGCGCGCGCCTCCGCGAGGACCACGTCCGAGCGGATATGAACATGCACGCGTTGTTATTGGTGCACCGTGAGTGACGTCATTCCTGACGACCGACGAGCTGCAATATTTTGATCGGTGGCTTCAACCAACGTTAACAAACGTGATATTATGACGCCACTCGCTTGCTACGTGTTGCCGTCCCCTTTATTATCGCAAGAAATGTACGCGCAAAACTGAAGCGGATGCCTTTTTTATTTTGTTTTTACGTTAACGCCTGTTATGTTTTCTCAGTACATTACGTCTTTTAGTATGAATTTTGTCGGTCCATTACATATCGCGAAAAACACACGCGAATCCCAAAATAAAAGTACTGAATTGGAAACGAATTTTTATCGATGAAAACGCAATTATCCAAGAAGAAACAAACACGCCACAGCAACGGCAGCGAGCGTGGCGAACTTTTAAAATGCGCCCACTAGCACGCCATCCCCTGCCTGACAACCACTTTACACGCAAGCGGGGCACACTACAAGCTTTCCACGCCGTCGGATCGCTCGGACCGTTAGGGCCTCGCTTTCTTTTCTCGAACAAAATTTTCAAACCGCCTTAAATTTCAGAACAAGAACGATAACCACACACACACAAAAAAGCAAACTCAATAGAGAAGGCACAGTGGAGGGAAGAAAGTAAGGATTGTAACAAAATTAAAAAAAATGCAACGTACTTTCTTGCTTCGGTGCGGTACAACTAGTTGTTTGTATGTAAACACGGCTTGCAGCCAACCACAGTCACTACTCCGCATCGCAGGTGCTGGGTAGAGGCGGAGAGAGTGAGGAGAGCACCGTCCAGCGTTGCACGCGAGAATGGATGAGCGTGCGGTACCACCTTCCGCTTTCTCGGCCGGACGTTCGATTTTCAAGCGCAATCAATTCCGTCGCGCCGTCGCCTGCGACCGACCTTTTCCGCCGTCGTTTCCCTTTCCGGTTCAATGTTTTCACTCTCCTTCTTTCTGTTCATCTCTCTCTTTCTCTTTCTTTCAGGAAGACGATTTAACGGTCTGAACTTTAAACTCGAAACAACGTGAAATTCCAACGGGGATCGGATAAAACGCCCGCGTCATTTGCCAGTTTGAAACAAACATTGATTTGTCAAGGCATACAATAATTGTTCTTTTTTTTTTTTTGTTGGAAGGAAGAACCGATAAAAAGAAAGCTACCTGCGTATCTCTCCTCACTCTTGAGACTGCATATCAGTGCTTCACAACATGGATGGCGCAAAGACACTGCCAAAGACAACCTATAATGGAACTATCAAGAGCAGGGATCTCCAACACGCGCGGCCCACGGGCCGCATGCGGCCCGCGCCTGACTAGGATGCGGCCCGCAGGCAACCGGCTTTGAGCCCGGGCCCGCTCCCATGTCTCGAGCGCTTGAGATGGTACGCATCATAATGATCTCATGTCGCCGATTCATTTCCGCTCCAAACTTAGCTACGCTGTAATGACGTATTCACATAGTTTATACTATTTTGTTTTTATTTGCTTCGTGGTTTGTTTTAATTTTTTCTTTCCAGCTTTTTGTTATGTAAAAAGAAAAACACCTGCATGACAATGGACTTGTTCGCTAAATTGCCCGAACTCAAGGAGAGTGCGCGAGTGTTCTTACACGCGCTGCGCGTACTGCCTCCTGCAGCAGTAACCGTTTAAAAAGTAAAAAAATCATTACAATTTGAACTTCGCACGCGTGTTCATGAACGTCTAAATTTGGTTGTCTACTTCGTGTATTTAATACGCATAAGGCGAACGCGCGCCAGTTCGTGTACTTACATTCCGAGCAATTCTTTTGATGCTTGGATAATTTGGAAACAAAGTATATTTTGCTACCAGGCTCCAACTGCGAGCTGTTTGCTCAAGGACGCACCTAGACTGAAAGGACTTCCTATCACCAGGAACAACTGTCAAGGATAAAGCTATGAGTTCAAGATTCTCGCATCCAGAAAATATCACCCTTAAAATACGACTGCTGCTGCAAATATTAACAAGAAAGCAAGAAGTTGCATATGAAGATTTTTTTTAGACAACCTTTCGTCCAAGTCTCTTTTGATTTGGGAAACGGGAACGACACTTCGTTTTCTCTCTAGTTCAACTAAAATACTAGCTCGCGATCTATTTCTTGTTATGTGACAACCAGAATTATCACGTGTGGGCCTATAAAGTAAAACAAAAAGTAGTCCTATAAACAAATGAAAGCTAAAGATGTTCACAACTGCAAGTTTACAAAACACAGAAAGTGCAAGATCAAAAAGGTCGACCCCCCCCCCGCCCCTTCTGGCTTACGGTGCCCTGCGACCTTTCTCGGCTGGGCTATCCGGCCCCCAAAACCCAAATGAGTTTCACACCGCCGATCTAGAGGAAAGCTGTTGGAGAATTCGGCACCTTGCAGGCAATTCCGGAGAAAATAAAAATGTGCTCCTAGTAATGTTCGCGTTTGCTTATATGCATATCTGAGTTTCAACCTGTGTGTTTGTGCGTGTTTGTGTGCGCGTGTGCGGAAACTCATACACGGACACGGTCTAATTATGCACCCGTCACGTACACACACAAACTATACACTTCCCAGACGCCCAGCGTATTTTGACGAAGTCCAGCGAATTTTACCGTGAGATCGGGAATACATTTCACGATTTTCTCAAACCCTTTGTTTTGCCTTTCTAAACCAGACGTCAAGCGCTAACGATTGAATTCCCGTTGTTCCAGCGATACTCAGTTTCATCATTGTGTGTGATGTTGAATGTGTATCCGCTAAAATAAATGCGTCTGTACACACTTTTTCGGGCTTTCATCACCTGAGCTAAAATTGCCGAGTCACTGTGCGTGGACACGTGCGCGGCGTCTGATATTCAGTGGAAGCTCTCTTCTTCGCATGCTCGAAACGCGTATATTAAGAAAAAAAGGGGAAAAAGAACACTCACCTTGAAGACAAAAGCTCCGTCTTCGAGGACGCCCGCCACCTCTCCACAGCCCACGGACCGGACACGGACCACACTATCGATGACCCCCCCTCCCGACGACGACGCGGTGGAACCCCCGTCGACCGTGGAGTCGGACGAATTGTTCGCGGGGCTGGCGGTGGACGCGAGCAGGGCAGCAGCCACCGTCACGAGCACTGCGAGAGTCACCAGGGTGGTGATGGCCGCCACTGCGCACATCTTGGAGGCGTTGCGCAATGTCCAGGAGGAACGAGTGCGATGCCCTTCTTCTACGAGATGGCTGGCGGGGAGAGCGGGACCGCCGAAGGAGTCTGGCTCTGGATAACGTAGGAGGTCGTCCTCGTCGTTTAGGTGGCTGTATGGTCGATGCGCGCTTCGCAGCAGGGACATGCTAGTGTGGGCAGACCAGGGACGTCCTCTCCTACGCCGCACCGGCGTCCAGTGCCATCCTCGACGTGGTTACACGTCTTGAGCTCTGGAAGGAGGGGAGAAACGCAACAGTATGAATTGAAATCTGTCTGATGGAATCTTAAAAAAAAATACCTTATAGTTTTTACCTTTACATTCGTCATTTAGAGCGTCACGGATCTCTGTTGTGAACCATCAGCGCTACAGAAGACATCCAAGTATCACCAACATGTGCTTTGAGTATATTTGGCACTTTTTTTTTTCGTTAATAAATACGTATCAACATGCCAACGACCACAAGACGTAATCTATTTCTGATGCTTTTCCTGTAAGAAAGTAGTGATAAACATTGTTACTCCAAACCTATGGACATTGTTTTTGTTCAGGTTTCACTTTTGGAGACTAAAATTAGACTTCACAATTAAACCACTCTCGTTGGCTAAAAAGAAAAAAAAAATCAGAGCTTACTGCTTTGATATATAAATCACTTCTTAAGATGAAAGATTGGGTGAGTTGGCTGTTCATACTTATAATTTACAGCGCACAAGAACAATTCACACTCGAACACGCGCACCAGTTATAGCCAATCACTCATACAGCGCTGTGTGCTGAATGTTGCTAAATGAATGGGCTGAATGCTGAATGGTGTGCGTGTTTAAGTGTGAACTATTTTTGTACGCTGTAAGTTATAAACATAAAAATTACATTTTTATACACATTAAATAAACGAACAGACTCAACTGATTTCTGCATATTTCCTTGTGATGATGTTTGGTTTAGGAGAAAATAAAGCATTAAATTTCAGCTTAAACTCACAGATTGTAGGCCGCCACAACACAACGAGAGACAGTGTGTGTACCTGTGGAATCATTTTTCACGAACATTACATCAGCACTAGGCAAGGCCACGCGTCCACTCCCAAACTTTCTATAACAATGCCACTACATTACTGGGAGGTCTTATAAATTACCACATAGACAGATCTTGTCAATGCATTTTAAAATTAAAAGTGTCAAGACCCTTTTTATTTGTGATACTTAATATAACGTTCTTCCATGGGCCTATTAAGCTGATACTTACCAGAAATAACTGGCCGTACTTCCATTGTGTAGTAGAGCTACAAACAAATATAAAGAATGTCTAACTTTCACGGAAGGAATGATCAGCGCAACAAAAAGGATGGTGCAATACCTTTTTCTTCATTTTCTTGTAAGACTTTTCATCAAAGATTTGCGGTTGTGACCATCAGCGCTCTGTCTGTGTCTTTCTTCATCGGGTCCCTCGTCTTTTTTTTGTTTTAAGTTTCCAAAGTTCTGCGTAATATTGCCGCGTGGATGACCGAGAAGGAACGTTTCTGTGTACTCCTAGAAGATTCGTGTTTCTTCTTACCGTGAGTGGAAAATATAAGAAGAACAGAATGATCTTGCCTAGTCAGTCTCGCCCTAGCTCACTCCCGGAAATTCTAGGTCGAATGTTTGAGATGCCGAGAGTAGTAGACAAGGAGCCGACCGTGGTCTTGCCGACTAAGATTATACCGACATTCACAGTCGCGCTAGCCACCTCACACGCAGACGCACCGTCGCTCGCCGCAGCCGCCGTCGACGCTCGTTGCCGTCGACGACGCTCGTTGCTGCTTTCTCGACGTTTGTTTTTCCCTTTTGTTTCTGGCACAAGTTTGCCGATTAAAACATTTATTTTCAGTTCGTTATTCATCGTCCCTTCGTTTTCATCCGCGACAATATTTTATCGTCAAGCTTGTAATCTTCCCGACAGGGCGGATGTTAAGTTTCTTAAGCCATCGGCTGTAGTTAGTTAACACATTAAAGTAGCATTTTCATTTTGATCGATCGCCTTTCGTACCATGAAAAATGTTTTGTTTTCCTGTGTGACTTAGACCTAGCGGTAGAGGCGCCCGACTACGACATATGCTGCGGAAACGCCCATCAGCAGATCTTTCACATTTCCTTCTTGCTCATCATTAATCCCATTGTTTTATCGCTAAATTCTCGCTAACTATCACGAAGTGCCGGCTCGTTTACTATACGCGTTCTACAGCGATCACTACTGTGACACCGAAGAGAGAACAAGACAGACCCCATGTCAAACATGGATGACGTTCGATTCGATAAACGGCTTCGAAATATACTGTGACGTCAAGCTGGTAGAAAAAAGTGACAAATACTTTCGTGAGAAAGGAAAATAAGTTGGCGTTTGCCGAGCTGAAACAAAACTCTGAAAGGTCCAAAAGTTTATTCGACTGTCTAAAGGGAACTTTACTTCCCTCTCGATGAAGGCAGTCTTTTGTTGCCAAGTGGAACAAAAAAAAAACATCCGAAACTTTTCCCGAAGCAACCTTGTCTTTGACACCATTCCGGCCAAGTGAGGTTGAGGCGACTCTAAATGTAAATCAGTGTCGCCGTTTGAGAAATGGCCGCCCTGGGCTTTAGGGGTTCAAACGACCCGCCCTAAAGACACACACACAAATACTTCTCAAACTCGCTTCGTTTTAGACAACAACAAACAAACCTAAAGTATCTACAAAGACGGTAAACAAAGAGGTCGCATTTTTATGTCCTGTCGCAGCTGTCGGTGTTGGCGGGTGTTTTTGTGTTGTGTACTTTGTTCCCGTCCGCCTTTGTCTGGCTGTCTAGCTATATCTGGGCTGCCGAAGTTTGATGCTCGCGTGTCTGCCCTCGCTATTTATTTTTATGTCCGCTTGCTTTCTTCGGTTTAGATTGTTCCTCGACGACGCGACTTCCAATTCATTTTTACGGGACGGCGCGGGGCATGACGCCGCCATCGTACGCTTTTTTCTACTAACATATTTTGTTTTCGTAAATGTATCATGAAGCGGATGGATCCTATATAGAGCCGTCCGCGGCACCAGACATTGTCGTTATACTCGGCGTATTCTGCTGCCGTTGCGAGGCACCAACTTCAAAGATGGAAGTGCAAAGCAAGAACGTGAAAGGCCTTGGTAGATTGCCCACATATCTTATATATGTGGCCATATATTTATATTTTGGGTTCGAAGTTGTTAAAAGAAACAGTTTTCAAACTATATAGCTGCGTGGCGTGATGAAACCCGAGACCGGATATTTCCATTCCAATCACGTTCAGCTTTGTGTTATTATTATTTGCTTTTCTTTGATACATGTCAGTTGCTATTACGATTCCAAAATAAAAGTTAACCTTTTACGTCAAGCGGTGCAGTTGTGGGGCTTCGCCAAAAATTGGATTTCGAGTGTGGATACGTTATGTGGCGTTCAGGCGCTTCTCTTAAATTTTTTCGTCATCGTAACGTGCTTCATTAGAAAGAAGAGCACACTCAGAGTGGAAGCAGACTGGAAATCATATTTGAACATACCAGAAACGTGCAAAGAAAGTCATATACGACGTCAGAGTTCGTCTGCTTCTTGCTAACCTCGGGCGTTTGTTTACTCCCCAAATGCGCCCACGTACTTTTAAATCCTTCTGACCTTAACCAATGATTGTCATAAGCATTGCTGCTTCGTCATCTCGCGTTTTCTATGTTGCCCGTTGATTGGTGTGCCTTTCTTAGTGTTTCGATGCGCCAAAGACACATTTTTGAAAAAGTTACTGGCCATCTGAGTATCATCTCTTGAAGTATGAGCTCGTCGCCTTTCACCATGGTGCCATTAACAAAGGTGACGCTCGAGGCAAACTCGGAAACAACAGGACGAAAACGAGTGCTTGAGAAAAATGAAAGAGAAACAAAAAGAGAGGAACGCAGACAGAAGAAGAACTGTGGAAAAAAGCCAAAATACACGTACCAAAAAAAAAAAAAGAAAAAGAAAATTCAAGGAGTGAACACTTTTGGTTGGTTTCTGGCAATAGTGCAGAAAAAAAAGCGAAGACCAGAGAGTGCTCTTCTTTTTTCCCCACCTAAAAATACAACGCAAGACAAACTTCTGGAACCGTTGTGTCGGACAGAAGGAAATTAAAACAGAAAAAAGAGAAAACGGAAAGGGATCTCTTCTCGAGAGGAACGGGAACAGGGAACACACACTGACGGTCTCCCAAAGGAAAGCTGCTCGGAGAAAAACCCGGTAAGCAGAAAACCGTTCGACAGCCTTCCCTCGGACGTGATCGGGGACTCCAAACACGACAGTGTCTCTTTGTCGCCTCTCCGTCGCCCGTTCCTGTCCCCTCCTCTCCCTTCCCTATTCCTTTCCCGTTTCTTCCTTTTTTTCCCCTCGTTCTCACCACTGTCTATTCGCACCGTCGTCGCTGCGTCACCATCTTCCAAAACACCAACTCAACTCTCCTGCGTCATGTCCCTGCAGAGGCGCTGCTGTCGGCACTGCGCTTGCGCAGACGCTATACTGCACAACGCTTTAGTCATAGAATGAATAAACGAGAACTAGAGAAGTGTCCATACAGCAAGATTCGTTTGACCTCTACACTTCGTTTCAGCTCAAAGGCAGCCCCAGCCGACGCTACGAGCTGAGGGGACCAATCGGACAGTGTCAAAAGTGCCCCGTCATGGTGTTCGTCATGTTTTTGTATGTGCTGTATTATTGCTGAACCTATCACAAAAAAAGGCCAGTTTTTGTTCCTATTCCCTTGTAGCGTCGGCTGCGTTTGGACCCAGGCTGAAACGAAGCATAAGCGCTGCCATTTTTCCCTACTGGGATGTAAGAGGAGCTACAGGGATCAAACGAGCAGCGCCAAAAGTGCGAGCCACTGGGCCTTCTCTGTTCGTGATTGGTTCAGCGATGATAGAACACGTACAGAAACATTCGTCCGATTGGTCTCAATGCATCAGCGCGTAGCGTCTGCTGCGCCTGGGCTTATAAGGCGAAACGAAGTATAGCTAGCTGCCTTTAGTAGCGTACGCAGGAGAATGGTTTGAGGGGTCAAATTCCCCCCCCCCCCCCTTTCCCCCTCCCTCGAAAATAGTTCCTGGCTACGCCACTGGCTGTTTTTTGCTGAATATCAGGCTCCGCGCTATCGTGCAC